AGGTAGGGTGGGGGAGAGGGGAGGGGAGGGGGGATTTGTTTGGATCAAAACTTACGGGATGAGCGCGTCCTCGGTTTGCCGCCTACTCTCCCTCTTCTCCTCCCCTTCATCATGATACATCCTCAGGAGAATACTCACGTACGTATTCGCAGACCCACTTTCCTGCTTCAGCAGGTTAGGTGGCTGCTTCATGAACCCTTGACGCCAGAGCTGCATCCTCAGTTCTTTGTCGGCATTGAATTTTTTGGCGAAGTGGTAGGATTTCCGTAGGAGGGACATGACGCGGAGGAGCTCCGGGGAAGGGATGGAGGCGTAAACGGAGTCGTTGGAGAAGAGCTCGGCGACGGTCTCGATCATGAGGAGTTGGAGGACGCAATTGGTGATTATGCGGTTGAAGAAGCGGCGGCGGGCGACGGTGACGACGGGCGCTTGTGTTTGGGTGTCGACTTGAGAGGGACGGTAGTCTTCTAATTCTGGAGCGACTGTGGGAGTGGGTGGGATGGTGGAGTTGGTAGTGATGGGTGGAGTGGGGTGAGCAGGGATGGAGGAAAGAGAGGCTTCGGTGGATGAAAGCTGAGGTGATGCTCCATTGGTAGGTGGAGTCGTCACGGGCTGTGAAGATGGTTCTGTGATAGCCAGGCCATTTGAGGGCGATGGATCTGCGATGGAGGGGGTGCGTGCATGAGACATGGTGGCACTGGCGGAAAATAGTTCGTAGGCGGTGGTACGGTCGAAGAGGCCGACAAATGCCCCGACAATTCTCGCCCAGTGATCCGGTCGGAACTTGGTCACGTTCTGCAGGATGAGCTGTTGCAGACAATTACTGCCGATTCGAGCAATGGTGTCGTTCTCCTGGCAGATACACAGAGTAAGGAGATCAAGGAAGCGGTCGAGCATATGCTCTAGGGAGTCAAAGTAGTGCGTGAATAAGGTGATCATGTTCCGCAGAGCTTGGATCATGGTCGTAGATAGCCATACAGAGAGCTCTTCGTGGTTAGGCGCCTTGGACATCTCGGACTTGGATTGGAGCACAACAAAGATTGGGTAGAGGACTTGTCGCCAAAGAACGTCCCAGAAATCTCTGGGGAAGTCTCCTCCATACTTGATGAGAGTTTCGAACAGGTATGTCAGAGCTCGCGATCTGACCTCGAGGTCTTCTCCTGTCATCAAGATATCTTGATATGCAATTAATACTGGATACCAAAACTGCTCCTCCTCCGACTGCGGTGTCGGCTGCTTGATGCCAGGCGTGATGCCATTACTCGTCTGGTTGCGGCCTCTATCGTGCCGTTGCGATAGTGGACATTCAGGCGTCTGTAGCATTTTGGGAACGGTGGATTTCAACGTCTCGATTGCTTGCAACGACTTCTTCTGGAATTTGAGGTTTTTGGCGAACTCAGTCAAGCAAACAATGAGGTCTGCGAAAGCGCCTTGGGTGATGACAACACCAAACCGAGTGTTGTAGATCTGGTTGGTGTAGTCAAACGCCAATGTGACTATGCCTTCGTATTTCTCTCGCGCAGCCACTGTGAACACGCCGAACATCGTCTTCCAGCCCGATCGTATGTTCTCACCTCGTGCTTGAATCATCTGGATGAGACACCTCAAGACCATATCTTTGACAGTCACAACGTTGCTGTTGGCCATGACGTGTTCGAAGGGCTTAAGGAAGTCTTTTTGAAACTTGAAACCGGGTAGCTCTTCGATCTCCATGAAACGCATCGATAGCTGCCGCAACGAGTCGAGAGCGAAGAACACCACCGCAGTGTTGGTGTGGCAACCGACTTTGTTGAAATGCTCACCAAGCACTTCCCATATCTTGGTCCATTCTATCCTCACCCGAGTCATGTTGTAGTAGCTGATCTCAACCAATTTCTGAAGGCTATATGTCCGCGGCGAATCACTGTCTCCAGAGGACTGAATCTCTTGCCAGCTCACGTCGCTCAAGGCACGGACAAAGCCGAGAATGGCCTCACTGGACAGCTTCGCAGTGTTGGTGAATATCCGATCGATCCCCCGGACCATGTCGGTAGATCTAGTCTCCATTGCTACTTCGGATCGATAGCTGGTGTGGGAATTGGCTGAACGTGGTCTGGGTCGCCTGACAGACTGCATCGACTTCCTCGAACGCCCAGCCTCGCCGATATTCGAAGGAAGTGGTATCCTGGCTCGCGTAACATCCGGTAATGCGTCCTCGTCCACCCCGCCTGATAATAATTGAAGACGGTCAAGCATGCTGACACAGGTCAAGATCTCTCTCCAGGAGCCCTTGAGAAGTTCGCCCTCTGATAAGGCAATTTCCAGCAGGACCTTCAATGCTTCTAGATTCTTAGCCATCATTTCCTTCAAGTTGCCAAGATTGGTAAATTTGGCCAGTGCGGTAACGAAAGCTTCTCGAGGTATTTCAAGGTCAAAGCGACAAGAGATTCTGATGGCGAGCTTGAGGCCCTCCATACACTGTTTGATAATGTCAATGTTCTGCGTAACCTGAATCTGTCCAGATATACCGGACAAGAATGACATCCAGGTAACATTGAACATTGGCCCGACGTGCTTAACAGACGACGCGGGTATGAATCTGGATAGCTCTTCTCGAACCACAGATCTCTTTTGCGCCCGGATAAGACTACGATACAGCTGCTCGGTCTTGTTGGCCATTTCTTCCGAGGCTTGAGCATATTTTTCTTTCTGCACGTCTCGACCAACGCTGGCCAGAACTTGGCCAGCCCTCGAGGCTAGTCCACCAGTAGGCATTGATATTGGAATACCCAAATCTGCTGCATGCTCCCGCTCAGAAGCCAGAACAATCTCGTTGTGTGCTATTTCATCAAATATGCCAGCCAGGTACTCTGCTGGTAGATCTTGACCATCATTGATACCTCTGTTGTTCTTGATGAAGTCATCAACAGTCATGCGTCGGCCCTTGAGCTTGGTGCTATGCTGGTCGGTATTGAGCATAATGACCGAGTAAGCAAGAACATAGGCGGTATCAGCGTTCGCGAACGCGTTGGGGTTGCCAGTCAAGTATCGCTCGGCAAACTTTAACATAAATCGGTCGATCTTTTGCGCCTCGCCGGGTAAGCGAAAGCTTTGCAAAAACTGCCTCAACGCATCAACAAAGCGTCTCCTCGCAAAGTCCATGGCATCCACGAATGCATGCATGATCGCAATATTTCTTTCATCGCCTTCCCCTAGAAAATCTCCAAGCACAGCTTTGTCCAATCGGTCATTGCCGATGAGAAATCGAGCAATATCCTCTGCTGAGTCACTTTTGATAAATCCTTCTGCAAGCAGGGTCTTGATGCCGCGCTTGGGCTTGAAGTTGAATTGGCGAATGCCCTCGTTCAAAGCAGTCTTGCGCTGTTTGACCTTTTCTATTTGTGATGGGTCATCTTCGGCGACCGGTGTGGAGGCTCCTGTGAGCAGCAGCACCGGTACCGTTGTCCAGGGACTCCCTCGAATCCTCATATGATCCCCGAGAACCCGGATACCGGCCTGCCCCAGCTCCATCGGTAAGACTCTGCTTTGACCAATTGTCTAAAGAATGCAGTATTTCGATCAGACATTCTAGGGATTGCTGTTTCAAGATGTACTCGCTCGGTAGCGCTGCTGGTGGAGGATTGGCAACAGCAATACTGGCAGTGGAGAGGCCAGGAAGCAGAGCCCCTTTCTGATGCCACTCCGATCCAGCACTCGGCATGCGAATGTGTTGTTCCTGATATTGCACTTGCTGCACCGGGGTCACATTGATGGGAGAACTGCAGATCCTAGCGAGATGTTCGATTATTCCCTGATACATGTTATCCAGCGCTGCTCGATCGCAATCGTAGTTGAGGTATATCTCCACAAGGGCTCGTGGATCTGCCGATAACCTCTCCAGAACATCCATGAAATGCTGCTTCTGGAAAACTGGTGCACTCTTCTTTTCCAGTACCGAGAGGTAAACCTCTTTGAGGAAAACCTCCAATTCCTTTTTGAGCATGACACGCAAATGCTTTAAACACAACCAGAAGATTTCACAGCAGACTTCATAAACTCGAGCCACCGAGCTTGATGCATTGCGTGATAGACTTAGACATAGATGAGGTTTAGCTACTTGCATAAAAGGATTGGTCTCCCCGTCGCTCCCGCTTCTGATCGAAGACAGTGGGGAGATGAAGACGGATATATGGTTGTTGAGGAGATGGTGAATGAGATGTAGGGAGAGCAATTTCGATCTCATGTTCTGTGACTTCAGATCCTGTTGTTGCTCATGAGTCAGGATTTTCTGGCTCAATTTGCACAATGACCTGAAGACAAGAAATGCATCTTTAATGTAGATATCGTCCTCTTCATCTTCCGCAGAGGCATCAATATCTTCCTGCTCGTCGTGTTGGCCAGGCCTGGACAGGACGCTAGAGGTAGAACGAGGAAGTTTGCGGTCTTTTCGGGCTCGTGTGACCATGGTAGGGGCATTCTCGGCGACGACGGCATCGTCCAAGTTCTTAGTGTTCTCGAAGCTCTGCAGTGTCATTTTCTCCTGCTTCTCTTTTGGCGCGGTAATGTTCGACACAGCCTCGCTGTGGAAATCTTTTTGACCCTCTTCTCCATCACCACCGGACTGCTCATGGTCTCCAGCGATCGACGCACCCGCAGACAGATCTTCATCACTTCTCGAATGGGGACTTCGACGCTGCCGAGCCTCTTTAAGATCCAGCCGCACACGCACGCGGTCAAAAACTGTAGCTACCATTTGCGTGAGGGAGCCTTGTGCTACTTGCTGGTTTTGACTTGATTTGGAGTAGATAAAGATATTGTATATCTGCCGAACAGCTTTAAGCAAACCGGCCCCATGGACAACGATTTTATCGTTTAAAACAGCAGCCAATAAAGATTTGACAATCTGTTGCTGAATCTCGATTGGTGTGGCTTCATTCTCGAAGCAGTCGCAGATGGTCTCGATAGCTCGCTCAATCAACGGTGGCTGCTGCAAGGCGTTCTCTGCGTCCTGAGCACTACTAGCCTCCGCCGAGGGAAAAGCAAAATAGGAATAACTTATGAGCTTTCCGATGCAGTCCAGCGCGGTCACCTCTAGGGGTATACTGAAGGTCTTCGAAGCCAGCTGGAGCGGCCGAAAGATGGTTTCTGGATCGACGCCTTGGTTTTCATCCTTGATGTTCGCCAGAGCAGCCTGGACTGCCTCTTGTAAGTCCTTGCTCTTCCTTGCTTCCTTGGAGCTGCCAATTGTTTCCAAAGCCGTGACCACGAAGACTGTGGAGCTAATGGGGGCAGAGACAGAGGTCGAAGTCGACGTAGACTTTGCGCGTGGTCGGGGTTCAAGGGCAGTCGGCGTTGGAGATGCTCTCTGCTCCGGGAGGTCATGCTCAGGGGGTGTAAGTGGAAGATCTTTGGACACTCGTATAGAAGGTGATGGTGCTGGTATCTGCGTCTTTGCAGGCCCTTCTGTAGATCTGTCTGGCTCGTTCGCAACCTCACTCTCACCATTTAATGAGAGAAAAGGATCTGGAGCTGTAGTTAACCGCTGAGGGGATTTGGCTGTAGGATGGTCGTCAACCTCAGGCTTTTGAGGGTGACTATCTGGCATCGTTATTTCTGTCCATCCCGATTCTGCAGACAGATTGGGCTTGTCGGCTTCCAACCTTGCAGGAGGCTCTTCTGCCTCTCCAGCATCATCCCCTGAAAGTCCATCCGGCGCATTTTGATCAGGATTCAGCTCGTTCGGACGATCTCCGTCGCCTTCAGACATTGAGTGGCAGCCTCAGATAAACGAATGCAAATACTTCCTCCCACACTCTGCGCATTTGTGATCGCAATTATGAGGTACTTAAACCTTACTTGACACCACTCAGTGGCTCCTGAATTGCTCGTTGGGCCCAGAATAGATATTCTACGTCAATCCGTAAGAGCATAGAGTGCAGAGAAGGGCGTCCCCAGGGTCCGGAGGGTCCGAACCCCCGGAGAGATTGAAAGCTGTCGGTCAGTTGGGCTTGGGGGTGGCTTTGGCTCCCTCCGGTCCGCTCATACCTCAACATCCTTCTCCGAAAAAAAGGATCTCTCAACATCGCCCATACACAAGGTGCAACCTTGAACTTATTGTGGGCTTCCAAAACTCATGTTCACTACGGTCATTCCTTTTGGCGTCCTCTGATATTTTTTGGTGGGCTTGAACTGTTGTTGCAAACTACAATTGGGGCACGATGTCTGCTCCGACTCTGGTCACCCGTTGTCCGACACGGGTGTTGTTGAAAGGTGCTGCCAGCTCGAGAATAGGTCGCCCGGCATATACACTTCGAGATGTTGCCTTGTGAGTCCTTGGGAAAATCTTGAAGCCGTCCGTCTTCATTCTGACACCACATCGCAGCCGCCAGACACTCCCCGCCCTCTCCGCCCTTTCCCGATATTATGCCTCCAAGTGTATGTCTTACCCATGAACGGACCTGGAGATCCTTTCGTAACATGTCTTTACAGCATTCCCACCTCACACGGTCATCAGCATGCCGGCCTTGTCACCCACCATGACTGCCGGAAACATTGGAGCCTGGCAGAAGAAAGTCGGCGACACTCTAGCTCCAGGAGATGTCCTGGTCGAGATTGAGACAGATAAAGCACAAATGGATTTCGAGTTCCAAGAGGAGGGTATACTCGCCAAGATCTTAAAGGAGAGTGGAGAGAAAGATGTTGCCGTCGGAAACGTATGGCTTCCTCCTAGATACTGTTGACGTGTTTCTAATGCCCGCGCTTTATAGCCAATTGCTGTCATGGTCGAAGAAGGTACAGAAATCTCTAGCTTTGAGTCATTCACTCTCGATGATGCGGGTGGGGAGAAAGAAGCTCCAAAAGAAGCGCCAAAGGAGGAAGCTTCTCAGTCATCTGAACCTCCAGCTTCTGGGGCTTCGACAGCACCTCCTCCTGCAAAGGAAGAGCCAGCATCTCAAACTCAAGACTCCGAGCCCACTGGAGGCAGATTACAGACTAGTCTTGACCGCGAACCAAACGCCAGTCCTTCGGCAAAAGCATTAGCCTTGGAGAAGGGAGTCCCACTTGGATCCATCAAAGGCACCGGTCCAGGTGGTCGCATCACCAGAGCCGATGTCGAGAAGTACAAGCCGTCGGGCGGGGCTGCTCCATCTAGTCCTGCTGCGGCGGGCCCTAGCTACGAAGACATACCTGCCAGCTCGATGAGAAAGACGATTGCGAACCGCCTGAAGCAATCTATGAACGAGAATCCACACTACTTTGTCTCTTCTACAATTTCAGTTTCTAAGCTGTTGAAGCTGAGAGAAGCACTGAACGCTTCTGCTGACGGCAGATACAAGCTATCGGTCAACGATTTTTTCATAAAGGCATGCGCGGTTGCATGTAAAAAGGTCCCCACCGTCAACTCTAGCTGGAGAGAAGAGAACGGTCAGACGGTGATCCGTCAGCACAACACGGTCGATGTGAGCGTAGCAGTTGCTACCCCTATTGGTTTGATGACACCGATTGTGAAGAACGCTGATTCAATTGGACTGTCTTCTATCTCGTCCCAAGTAAGAGATCTCGGAAAACGAGCAAGAGATGGCAAACTTAAGCCTGAAGAATATCAAGGGGGCACATTTACTATCAGCAATATGGGGATGAACGCGGCGGTTGAGCGGTTTACGGCCGTGATCAACCCGCCGCAGGCTGGAATTCTGGCTGTTGGGACAACTCGCAAAGTTGCAGTTCCGTTAGAAACAGAAGAGGGTCCTTCGGTAGAATGGGACGACCAAATCGTGGTGACGGCCAGCTTTGACCACAAGGTGGTGGATGGCGCGGTGGGAGGCGAGTGGATCAAGGAGTTGAAAAAGGTTGTTGAAAACCCGCTGGAGATGATGCTTTAGGTTGCTCTTGTACAAAACCACGCGACACACAGATGTACTATTGAGCAACTACATAATGTTCCACGCGTTTAATGGAAAGTATCAGCACTCCTGGCAACGGACAACACCATTGATATAATACAGAAAGTCTACCGTAGTTGGAGATGGGGTAACGCTATCATGACGCCGATTGGCTGTTGTACTCAATCTGTATTCCGAGAGCCCGAGCCCCGGTACTGTAATTTCCATTCACGAAATTTAGTGCTGCGGTGCATCCAACCAGCCAGCCAAGAAGGCGTCAATATGTCTTTCCTCTCAGGGCAATTCCTCTAACATATCCCTGAAGACGACAACCACAAATATTCTGGGGTGTAGCGCACCCTGCGATGAGCCTGACCTCGCGGTTGTCCAATCTATTCGCCTCAGACCCATCATCACATCTGATACCCGTGTCGCAAGAGGCTGATGGCAGTGAGCACGATGCGATTAGTGACGACCGCACAGATGCGCCAATTGCCAGGAGGATCAAGAGAATGCGCACAATGGAGAAGGCGGAGACGGACGAGGACTTCGAGCTGGAACGTCCACCATATCTCCACGTAGGTCAGGCAGGGTCGACGCTCTGCTTCGGCCATGCTGACACTGTTGACAGTCAATGCTTGCTGGAGGGATTGGAGGCACAAGTGGTGATCTGTTGATGCATTCTTTGGACACCGTCAAAACAAGGCAACAAGGCGATCCTCATTTTCCTCCCAAGTACACCTCGATGTCAGGGTCTTACCTCAAGATCTTCAGGCAGGAAGGCCTACGGCGCGGATTGTATGGAGGAGTCACAGCTGCTATGTTGGGATCATTTCCGGGCACCGTCATCTTTTTTGGGACCTATGAATATTGCAAGAGACACATGCTTGATCGTGGGATCAACCCTTCGATCTCGTATCTCACTGGAGGTACGCGCTCAATCACCATTTGCTGCATCTCGATGCTAACAGTGCTAAGGTCTGGTCGCTGATTTTGCAGCGTCGTTTGTGTATGTGCCGTCTGAAGTGCTCAAGACTCGCCTACAGCTTCAAGGCCGATACAATAACCCCTACTTCAATTCTGGCTACAACTATCGAACGACGTGGGATGCTGCCAAAACCATAGCACGGATCGAAGGATTTGGTGCACTTTACTCTGGCTACAAAGCCACGATATTCCGTGACGTTCCATTCTCGGCGCTTCAATTTGCGTTCTATGAGCAGGAACAAAGGCTTGCGCGCGACTGGGTGGGAGGCCGTGATATTGGGATTGCTTTGGAGATACTTACTGCCACGTCTGCAGGTGGCATGGCTGGTGTCATCACATGCCCGCTGGATGTTGTCAAGACCAGGACGCAGACGCAAATCACTAGCGAAGATCCCAGCAAGACCAGCCAAGCGGCTCATTTCGAGAAGACGGTGAAGGCTGCTCAAGCTGTCAAGAAGGGACAGACCCGGCTGCTACATTCCGGACCACGATCTGTGCCAACTGAAGCACCAGTACTGGACACCTCCTCGGTTTTCACAGGCCTGAGACTTATATACAAGACAGAGGGGTTGACTGGATGCTTTCGCGGTGTAGGTCCGCGATTCGTCTGGACAAGTGTCCAAAGTGGCACGATGTTGGTCTTGTATCAATATCTGCTCAAGCAGATGGAGGGTCTGCAGCCTTCAGAGGGTCCAATCGTCTAAGGGTGATTCTCTTGAAGTCCGATCTGGGAAGGTGGATGGATACTATCATCGGCATCTAGCGTTCAGGGCGTTCTGTACAGCAGCATCTCAACTGTAAGAGTAAGGATAACAGGCCTAGCTTTAGAGATCTATTAGAGACTGTAGATACACAGTAAAAATTGCTCATGCAGCAACACCATGAAAGCCGAGAGAAAGGGTCACTCTACTCAAAGCTTATATTCTCTGTACCCTGTTTCAAGATCAGTCGGAAAATTACTAATACTACGCAACACGAGAAGCAGGAATACGAAGACCTGCAGTGTAGGGATCAAGGGGTTTGACGGAAGATAGTGCAGCCGCTCCGTCTCCCACAGTCAATCTGCGGGAGAGAAACAGTAGACCAATCACTGCCGCTAATCTCCTGTCTAGTCCCCTGTCTCGACTAACACCCCTTTCCTGACATTTCATCTTGCAGGAACAGCAAAGAACTTGTCGCCAACACTGCGCTTGGGCATCATATCTATTACACACTTTTCTTCCCGCCCTGTGGTCACCTTGAGAAAAGCGCAAGCAGTACTCTTTCTGTCACTTATCGTGAAGAAAGAACGAAAAAAAGCCGTTCCTAAAAAGTATGTTCCCCAAGAAATTTCCATCGACCTCTATTGCGCCGTACGGTGCGGCCATCTCCATCTGTCCACCCTCGTTTTCTCGGCTACAGTACTGACAGAGAGTGTTAGGAGGATCAGGCGGATAGACTGACCACAATCATACCTTCCCTGTTTACGCAGATCGGTTGACATGGGTAAGCCTGAAACCAAGTCTCGTAAACATCACCTTCAACTCCTGCTATTTCCTCGTGCACATACAGTGTAGGTCGCTGCGATCAGCTGTTCAGACAATCACCGCAAGCTCGGGCACATTTAAGATAGAAAAAATGGTTACAACAGCGGTCGTGGTGACAAAGCCTGAGCTACACCGCAATTCTAGCTACTCATCAGCCAAAGAGGATCTCACAACCCCTGCCTTACCTTCTCTCAAGCATGGTGGCAGTTTCAATCTTACTGACGCTGTTGATAATTCAGCTGCCATTGCTAATGGAGCCCAAGCTTCAGCGCGTGCTTCACCGGCGCCCAACATCCCGAATGGCAAAGCAACATCTCCATACTCCGAACGAGGAAACCCGATGACTCAAGGTGCCTCGCAGACAGTCAGCTCCAAAGACCCAAAGGCTGCCGCTCAAGCTGCGAACGATATGAAGAATGTGGTTCGTCGGAAGTTGACTGGTTATGTCGGTTTTGCCAACCTGCCCAACCAATGGCATCGCAAGAGCGTGCGCAAAGGATTCAACTTCAATGTCATGGTAGTCGGTATGTAGCACCCTCTTTCATGTGCAATTCCTCCATGAGTATGTGTCAATTGATTGCTGGTGTAGGAGAGTCTGGCCTTGGAAAATCTACACTGGTCAACACCCTATTCAATACCTCTCTCTACCCTCCTAAGGAACGCAAAGGACCCAGCCTCGAAATAATCCCAAAGACTGTTTCTATCCAGTCGATAAGTGCCGATATTGAAGAGAACGGGGTCAGACTTCGTTTGACAGTCGTGGATACACCAGGTTTTGGAGACTTTGTCAACAACGACGATTCATGGAGGCCCATTGTGGAAAACATTGAGCAGAGGTTCGACGCTTACCTCGAAGCCGAGAACAAGGTCAATCGTATGAATATTATCGACAACCGTGTCCACGCTTGTGTCTACTTCATCCAGCCTACTGGACACTCTCTGAAGCCTCTGGATATCGAAGTAATGCGCCGGCTCCACACCAAAGTCAATCTGATTCCTGTTATCGCCAAGGCTGACACCATGACTGACGAGGAAATTATTAATTTCAAGCAGAGAGTAAGTGTGACTTTCGCTGCTCCTCGATCGTTGTGCCAAAACTGACTTCTGCTAGATTCTCACGGACATAGAGCACCACTCCATCCAGATCTTCGAGGGGCCACGCTATGAGCTGGATGACGAAGAGACCATTGCTGAGAACCAAGAAATCATGTCCAAAGTGCCATTCGCGGTTGTAGGTGCAAACTACGAAGTCACCAACCCCGAAGGACGCAAGGTTCGAGGACGACGTTATCCTTGGGGTATCATCGAAGTGGATAACGAGGAGCATTGCGACTTCGTCAAGCTGCGACAGATGCTCATTCGAACTCACATGGAAGAGCTCAAGGAACATACCAACAATGCGCTTTACGAGAACTACCGATCTGACAAGCTCATTCAAATGGGTGTCAATCAAGACCCTAGCGTATTCAAGGAGGTTAACCCAGCTGTCAAGCAAGAAGAGGAGCGTACTTTGCATGAGCAGAAACTTGCGAAGATGGAGACCGAGATGAAGATGGTCTTCCAGCAGAAAGTGCAGGAGAAGGAAAGCAAGTTGCAGCAAAGTGAGGAAGAGCTCTTTGCGCGCCATCGCGAGATGAAAGATCAGTTGGAGAGACAACGATTGGAGCTCGAAGAAAAGAAAGCACGGATTGAGAGTGGCAGGCCGATTGAGGAGAAGGGCAAGAGAAAGGGCTTCTCACTGCGATAAACACATCCTTGGAAGGGTCCTGAAGATTCTGCAGCTCCTGGCTCTGGGCTCCGAGTCGGCATCAAAGCGCCACACTCGGCTCTTCTCTCTGCTTTCTGTGACAGTTCAACGTCCAATTCTCATCAAACTTCATGGGATTCAAGATGCTGACATGCATGGAAAGCGAGAAAGAGGCGAATCTTGGTGTGCAAAGGAACACTTGGAACTGTGCATAGTCATGGCAGCTGACTTTGTTTTTGAGGCGCAGAAAGCGGGGAGACTGCTTTCTGTTCATGTACACTTTTGCTTTTTCTTCCTTATCATGTGGCTTTACCTTAGTCGCCTTATACTCTTTAGTGATGGTCAGTTGGTACCAACTTCTTTCCTTCTCGGTTTAGCTGCGGCGATTGCGATTGCGGGTTACTTGGGAAGCGGGTAATGAATTCAGTCACTCCATAATTGCTTCTGCTAGTGTCACATGTGCTCAGAAATGAGGAACAGATTCGGATTTTGAGAGTTGATCTCCTAATATCATGTCTTTGCATGATGTTGGCTGACTGCTGCTTGCTCCCGTTGTATTGAACAATCACTAAAGGCTCTGTTTACAAGCTAGTATCAATGGAATAGACCGTGAAAATGTTGAACAAACGGGTACGCAACATGTCACATAATATATCATTACCCAAACTAGGTTACAGTGTAGTGAAGTGGACGCAAACAGTGCGTCATTGCACCGTCTTCTTTTTTGGCGCCATTTCAGCCACCGGTTTTGAGTGCCAAATCTGGGACTGTGCGGTCAAACTCACTACAGTACCACATTTCCACCTTTCGCAAACATCGTCAGAGCACAATTTTAGTCTTAAAAACTTCCTGACCAACTCACAATACGTCTCTATCCTACACAGAGAGAAGCTTTTCAGTCTACACTGTGCTTGTCTCAATTCTTGACTGCTCTCTACGTCTGCGCTCAAAATGGCACCCCCACCTACTTCAACTCTTCCTTTGACAGAACGTGTCAAGAAGCTTGCACAGACTCTTCAGTAAGGCTCAATGCAAATTGAATTAGCGGTTGGTAGCTAACAAATATCCTCAGATTTGCATGGTTCTTGGGGTAAGCATCTATATCTGCATTCAAGTTAGCATCATGGCTATCTGATCACGAAACTCTTTTCCTCTGGGAGCCGACCATTGTGTTTAATGCCCGCCTTTTCGGAGCTTTTCGACATATCTAGTATCACAGATTGCTGATATTGTGCAGACATCTGACCCTACTCCTTTCGGTCATCCGATACCTTTTCTCCTACATCACCTTCAACTTCTATTCCAGATGGGCTCAGACTTCCTACCGTCTTGCCTTTGTTGCAGCAGCCGCGACGTATGGCATAGTTGTCTACAAAGCCTACAAAGCTCGTTTGAATACTGGGGCGAAACAACAGAGTGCATTGATGCTGGCTGCTGACGAGAATGTTCAGTATTTGCGTAAGTTGACACCTATCCTCTCTGCGAATTGCGCTAACCCAGTTGTTCTTTTGCAGTGATGGCACTTATCTGGCTTTATTCTCGTCAGATTCCCCTCGCTCTTCTTCCGTTTACAGTCTACTCTATTTTTCATGTTGCTACGTACACACGAACGAACATCATTCCCACCTTTCAACCACCAAAGAGTGCTCCTTCAGGTGGCACACCATCCTCTCCCAACTCACCAAAACCTTCGTCCAGCCAGTCTCCATTAGCAAACAGTATTGGCAAATTCGTCAAGGAATATTATGATGCTTCCATGACACTCGTTGCGCTTCTCGAGATCGGATTGTGGTTCCGCGTTCTTCTGTCCGCCTTCACATTCACCAAAGGCTCCTGGGTGCTGCTCATTATCTACAGCGTCTTTCTGAGAGCCAGATACGCTCAAAGTCAGTTCGTGCAAGGTGCATTTGCGCAGGCCATTGCAAGGGTGGATGCACAGGTCCAGAATCAAAGCATGCCGCCAGCAGTCAGACAGGGCTGGGAAACAGTCAAGGGCTTGGGCAGGAAGGGTGTTGAGGCCACTGATCTTCGGAGATACCTTGGTGGTTCCAACCAGCAAGGCACGAAGAAACCTCAATAGAGCCATAGCTTCAAGGCTGGTGCTCGACGCAAGCCCTATTGCCAAATTATTGGGAAGCTAAAATGGGTATGTGGCTTTGGGTTACGTTAGCAGAGCAGGAGCTGAGGGAGAGGTGCAGCTAAATGGATTTGGCGTGTGAAGGTCGCTGTCATCATGGCATGTTACCTTCACCGGAAGCTTCGTGGCTGAAAGCCATGTTCAGCAGCAATTCCAACAGTGGTGTCCAGCGTTACTTGGAAGCTCGTCAACGGGGGGCTGGTCCGGCGAAGAGTTGAAAGGATAATTCTTTCTTCATACAAATCTGTGTTGCTTCGACAGGCAACCCTCTCGAATAGCGCTGCAGAGTTTCCTCATTATGTTACGTATTTGTAACGTTCCAATGGAGTTTCCAAGCTACACGATGGAATTGGACAGAATCAGTTTTGGACACGTGAGTAATTGCCAATTGTGAAGTCTGCCCCGCACTCACTCCGAAGCTCACCCCTTCGATGCCGCTTTCTATCTCGTAAAACAAAGATTTGCATTTTTCATCAATTTCTCAGGGTCCGGTGTAAAGTTGTTCTCGTTCTGGACGAAACTCGTTCGGCTAAGCACATTTCAACACAGGAGATGATTTCCAGGCTTTGACGAGAGGATAATTCAATGCTCGCGTCAGACGATGTAGAAGCATATGTCAAAGAGCAGAAGCTTTTGCATGCTCGACGTTACCCTCCCAATCAACATCCAGCCCGGCGACAATATCACTCCACGACGTCCTCTCATCAACCCCCAGGCTATCGAAGAAGACACCCAACCCATATTGATCGAGGTCACCGCTAAACTTGCGGATCTCCTGCGGGTAATTTGCAAAGAACCACGCGACGTCTTCGAAATCTCTCTCATACCTACGCTCATAGAGTACTTTCAATTTGCCGTTCAGAGCATGGGACAAATCCAGTAACGTAAATTTCTCGTTACGGCCATCATGCATTTTAGCTGTGATCTCGACTCGGGATTTACTCAGGTCGAGTGGACTCCCTGCGATTCCTTGAAAACGCAGATGAGCTGAAGTCTTGCAGGATTGGATAATGGCGGAGAACTTACCTGGTGCCTTTAGATCGACCTCAATTCTTCTGTATTCAGCACATTCATCGAATCCGGGTCCCGTCTCGACAAAGATCTTCATGATACCTTCACATATGTTGGGATACCGTACCCTACGGTAATACATCAGTATTCCGGGAATGCAACACTCCAGCAAACCTGCGTCTAAGACAAGCTAACCGAGGACAAGGCCGCAGCACTTCCTTGAGCTGCCTCATTCCTCCTGATGGCTGCACTGCAAAATCTATCTGCCGAGCTTTCCGGTCACTGCCTCTCAACCGAAGGCTAAACCCCCCGGTTATCGCGTGGGGTATGTTGTGGGAGGCCAGGAGACTTTGAAGGAATAGAGCAGTGGAGGAAAGGTTCTGTTCTGGCGGTAAGTTAATGAATTCTTCTCCATCCTCATCACTTTCGTAGTCAGCCATGTTGTACTCGGTTGCCATCTCGAGAGACAGGTAGATATTGGGGGTAGATGTGAGGCTTGATGTCACATGTCAAGATGCTGTCGCCTAGTTAGAAAGGAAGCACAGTTGCGGTCAAATCGGTAGATCCACTGCAATCACTTCTTCTCTCGGTGACACAGCTGGTTACCATAGATGTTGCTCGTTACAGCCAACGGCAGAATATGCAGCCCCAAGCAAGCTCTTGATAGCAAGGTAGAAGTGGAGTAGACGTCCGAATGACTCACCCACGCTGCTGTGCATGCACCTCGTTAGGCCTTTGCCAAGCCGACATATGTCTACAGGCCTTGATTGGACCCAGATCTATCCCTCTTCAGTAATAGCTCCGGCAGTAGAGTATATACCAAGCGTCCAGCATTCCGCCTCTCTTACTTAGTCCACTAAGAACTACACCACTTTCCCTTCCCCTAGGCAATATCAAGAGCGTAGTCTGAATGTCCCCTCCACCAAGAGACATCTACGAGCACGATGTCGACTTTACCGAATTGGCATTACAGGATCCGGCCTTTGCGAAGAAGTATTCTATACCTAGTCTAGCTGATACCGGTCCTTCTGTATCTCGAACAAGGTCACTAACACCACCATTAGATTGAAGCCGAACAAGCAGCTTGACTTTTCAGATCCAGAAAGTGTCCTGTATGATCTCTCTACTCTTGGTACTCTCTTCTGCGTTATCTGTCCTTTGTTAGTCAATGATGTACCTCTGCTAAAGAAGGTGGATTTCGTTTCGTCGCGAGCCATTCCTTCGATCCAGGCTGTGGGAGCGCTTGCTGATCTTTCTGCTGTTTTCCACGGCCAGACAATTGACCAAGTCACTTCTCCATCGGGATTTTGAGATCGATATCGAGTTGCCGAATGACCGGCTTTGTCCTCCTGTAGGGCTCGCACCTTCTAGAGAGGGGGTGGGATAGGGCATCATATCGACGGAGGCTGACAATTCCCCAATATGCTGCAACTAGGTTCCGAACAGGTGGGCATCAACCTCCCCCTTCAAGTCAAAAATCTGCCACCCCTTTCCAGGTTGGTACAAATCGTAAGAAGCAGGAAAAAGTACACTAATGGGCAAGTGAGAAAAATAGGTTCAACTACATCATCTGGCTGCAAGACCTCCTCGATTCAACCAGCGATGACTATCGAGAAAGCTATGACCCAAGACGAGAAGTCGTCGGGGTAGACATGTAAGGCCCCTACATTAGCAAGCACATCTTCTCCTCTCACTTTGGGAAGCCCTTTCTCCCAAGCGCACACGTATACCTTGTAGTTGAAATGCAAAAGCGGAGGTAGAGCTGACATGGCTCCAGTGGCACCGGCGCATCAGCCATCTACCCTCTCTTAGGCTGCCGCCAGCGACCCAACTGGAGGTTCATCGCCACAGAGGCCGACGACAAATCCTTCGACTACGCCAGACGGAACGTCGCTCGAAATGGTCTGGAAGACAGGATCCAAGTCCTCAAGGTCGAAGATGCTGGTGGGAAGCACGCTCCACTGGTACCGGAAAGCGTGCTGGAGAGGTTTGAAAGGTATTTCTCTCAATCATTCACAGCTTTAAAATGGAGCATAACCACAAGTTTCCCTCTCTATGTTCAATGACGCGTTATTCGCAGGATGAGTCTCGAGAACATGTGGACTGAACAAAGAAAACGTCTCTAGAATCGACTTCCTCATGACCAACCCCCCCTTCCACTCGTCCCAACACTCCCTCCTCACCTCCGCATCCGCCAAATCTCGTCCGCCCAACTCCGTCTGCACCGGCTCCGCCTCCGAAATGATCACCCCCGGCGGCGAAGTCGGTTTCGTCACCCGCCTGATCCACCAATCCCTCTCTGTACAACAGGAGAACCGCACTGTGCGCACAAAAGTGCAGTGGTGGAGTAGCATGCTGGGGAAACTCAGCAGTGTGGGAATCGTGGTGGAGAGGCTGAGGAAGGCGGGCTGCCGGAACTGGGCGGTCAAGGAGTTTGTGCACCCGGGGGGCAAGACGAGGCGCTGGGGCGTTGCTTGGAGCTTGGGCGGGTATAGGCCGGCGAGTGCGGTTGCGAGGGGGGTTGGCGGGAGGGCGGTCAGAGCTGCTAGCGCTAGCGCTTGTGCTAACAGCGGTGCTGTTGGTGGGAAGAAGAAGAAAGGGGAGGAAGACGGGAGCCATGAAGAGGAGGTGCTGGAGTGGGGTCTATTACCATTCCCTGCTGAGTTTGAATTCGAGGTCCAACATGCTGCGGGTGGAGTGCAAGAAGTGGGGAGGAGGGTGGACCCCGAGATCGGTAAGCTGGATCTGCGGTGGCAGTGGAAGCCCGCATTGGGTATTGGCCTTGGTATCGCCGAGAATGGGGATTGCTGGAGCAGGAAGGCGAGGAGGCGGAAAGAACAAGAGATGAAGATGAAGAAGCTCAAGCTCGAGGAAGAAGATGAGGAGATGAGGGACCCGAGTGAGGATGACGGGGACGAAGACGGAGATGAGGAGAAGGAGCCGGAACTCGTCTTCAAGATCAGGTTATCGCGCTCGTCGCGGAGAGGGAGGGAGAACGAGGAGAAGGGCAAGGAGATGGGTGAGGGAGGAGTGGTGGTGATGCTGCGTTGGCTCCAGGGACAAGATCACGTGCTTTTCGAAAGCTTCTGTGGCTGGCTCAAGAGGAAGATTGATCTGGAGACGAGGTAGGGAAGCACTGGTAGATGGGTAGTCCACGCGATGATCAGTGCTGTTCGGAGTGTCCAGATGAGAGAGACCTCAGGAATTCGGTACTCCAGACGTCAAGCTTCGCTCATCAGTACACAGTAGTCCTGCTGCTGGGAGGCATGTATTCGTCATCTATCATCTTGGCTATGAACTGTGATTGGGAACGAGTCACAACAGGACTCTAGATCCCGGTTGAGTTGGCCCCGTATACTCGATTAGGATGGATTCGGATAGCTAAACCAGATGTCCGGGAATGAAGGTGAACATAAGTATCTCGCATTTCATACGCCTTGGACTTCCCTGTCGTTCCTCCATCCAGGCCGTGTACAACATTCGAGCTTCGTCTTCTTCTTCCTTCCTTCCTGGAGAGATAAGAGATTGGGGGAATAGCGAAGCGGAATCCAGACAGCGCAGGGTATAGCGACACAAACATTGTCATGCTGTCAAGTGAACAAGGAAGACACAAACAATCTTCGTTCGATCTCAGGGCAATATTTGAAACATCTTCAATCTCAGCCCACGCGACGCAGCCCCCGAGCACATCATCCGAGCACCTCAGGCGATGGACTACCGCGACACCCGCTCCTCATCCCGCGCCCAGCTCAAGTCCAAAGGCAAGAAGCGAAGCCAGAACTGGTACCACTATAACGACATCAAAGGCTACCATGGAGGTGGCGCCAAGGGGCTGAAAGCCGGCCGACACAACGCGGTTGGAGTATGGAGGACTGATGCTGCGGTCGACCACCGAGGGCTTGAAGATGAGAAAGATATCTCGGCCAACGTCCAGAAACGAGAAATGTTGTCTGACACCGCTCCTGCTGCTGAGCAGAGATTTGTCGAGGAGTATGAGAGGGAGACTGAAGCATATCTGAGCCGAGGGTGTTCTGTGCGGTTGGGCGATATTGAGCTGTTAGAGAGGCTAGATCATGGGGAAAGGTTTGAGGGAAGTAGTGTTTGTGATTCGGTTGAGGAGTGGCTGGGTAGGATGGAGGAAGGGTTGGAGATGCTGGAGCTGTCGTCCTCATCCTCCTCTGTAGGGTCGACATCAGATGATGGTTGGGCTGTTGTGCCGGAACATGGTCGAGGCCTCAATCTTGGTTGGAGACGAACGTAGTTCGGGACGAATACACACTTCTAGTGCCTGGTATGTAGATCGCTGCTCCAATTTAGCTAGGATCAACCATGTATTGGTAGTGCTATCATTAACCCACCGGGTCTTGCAAGAGGGAAATACGTACGCTACCCTCGATGGTTAACAGCCATCAACTGTAACTTCGCATCAGCCCAGGCAGCTAATATAAGGTCTTGCTGCCTGCTTCCAATACTTGTGCCGCTATCGAGGTTCATCAGAAACCAACCCTTGCCGCATTCTGGATGCGGTGAACATGACCACATTTATCGAACGTAGTAGACCAATTCATGTCAGTGGATACCGAACAGTGCCTCTAGATAATCACTTGCTACTTCGCTGACTTGTGGTCGTGCTCTTCCTTTCACAGTCCACTTTACTTCCCACCTATCCTTTGAAGCATTTCTGGTCATCATTGGAACGTGATGAAGAATATTCAGCCACATTCTCTGCAGCAGCCGCGGTGTGAGCCGGTGGGGACGGCCGTGAACGTAAGCTGCAAAGGTATGTGACTTCTGAGGTCCTCCTAGGAGGAGCATTTCGTTTACCATTGAAGGTGTTTCTGCTGAAGGAGCCACCACTCTCCTCCTTCTAGGAACGGGACCGTCGTCTGTGCCTATCTTTCCGTGCGACAAATCTTGTAGGCGCTCAAACTCGCGTTCTGGTAATGGAGGTAGTAATCGATCAAGCTGCTTCGCATACCATTTCCGCATCAAATTCTTGACACGCTTCTCGGGCATCTGATGCCCCCATGTATTCTGCTCAGGTATGGCAGGCTTAGGCTTCAACTTGGTCGGCCCCGTCACTACCCTGTCCAGATGCTCTGTGTTCATGGATTGGCTGCGCAGCAAAGCCATCACCGCTGAGGATGGCAACCAATCCCTGGAGTATTTCTGAGGATCTGAAGGCGCATGGCCACCCTCGTGATCACGGGGAATGTCATCTTGCATGAGTTCATCCATAAGCTTCCGGCGTCGTCTTCCCTTCCGACCATAAGCTAAGGAGAGTACATTCTGCAGAGGCTTAAGATAGCCTTCGTTGGCCCTCCGCAGAACAGAGAGTCCTTTGCGGCCACGGTGCAGCAGGGTCACCTGCCGGCGAAGTGGTAGCTCTTTTCTCTGCTGTTGGTTCCGTGGCAGATATTTTCGATAGGAATGAATCACATGGTCACGAAGATATGTCCGAGCCTGTGAATCAGGAAGATAAGTACACTCTCGCAGAAGTGCCCTATAAAGATGCAAGGCATTCGTTAAAGGCAGGGCCATCAACTGCAGTGGGCTGAGGGCCAGGGCAGGATGCTTCAACGGAAGAGACCCAGCGGAAGAGACCCAGCGGAAGAGACCCAGCGGAAGAGATAACCGCTGGCTGGCTGGTTGGGAGCAATCCCACTGATGGTCAGGACTTTTCATATTATCCTACTAACTAACCCAACCAGAAGGTTTAGCCGGGTCTGAATTGGGAGTCTTAGCCGGAGACGCGCGACCGCGCCCCGCGCATTCAGGCTTCGGCCCACTAATGTCTATCACCAAATTGAACACTACCGACCTCCGCAACATCATGGACTGAATTTCACCTCACATTTGGATGTTCAAAGATATCGCTCGGCAGCTGACAGGAAGATGAATATCGTCATTGTCTGAGGTTTCAGCGACAAGGTCATTTGCGAAGATTTTGCGCCGCGCCCAGCTGTAGGTGAGACTTCCTAAAGTGTGTGCAGATTCTCATTTGAGCGCCTATGGCCGATACAGATGCTACCCTTCTCGCTCTAGATGTTGACCCGTGGACTGTCTATACTTCGATCTGGGTTGTATTGCATCCGTTTCATGGCTAATTTTTGGATCCCAGTGTCCTGTGGCCCCCATGGCCTCGACCGTGCAGACTCCGGTCTATCCCCATCCTCAACCCTCTTTCGCAACACACGAAAATACATCGTCCATGAATGATTCATTCGGTCAGTCGGCACTTCATTCGTTTGACAGCTCTAGATCTGTCGCTTTGACCCCGTCTGCCACACCACCTCCACCACGCGCAACACCGCAACACAATTTGTCGTTCAACGTGAACAGCGGCTCAGCAATGAATGGAGTAGTCCTCAAGGGTGGCAGTTTTGGGCAGTATGGAGACGTAAACGGGCATCCACAATCGTCAGCTTCCTACTATGGACAAGATGCCGAGCCTCAAATCTATACGGTAAGCGGGATTCAGCGTTGCATTCTTGTGCCAGCCACTCATGTCATATAGGCTGTCTATTCTAATGTCCCGGTGTATGAGATGGTAGTCAATGGCACTGTTATCATGAGAAGGCGAGATGACTCATGGCTCAACGCGACCCAAATTCTAAAGGTAGCTGGTGTTGACAAAGGGAAGCGTACCAAAGTCCTCGATAAGGAGGTTCAGAGTGGCGAGCACGAGAAGGTTCAGGGGGGTTATGGCAAGTATCAAGGAACGTGGATCAACTACCAACGAGGAGTTGAGTTTTGTCGTCAATATGGGGTAGAAGAGCTGCTGAGGCCTCTACTTGAGTATGACTTACGCACAGACGGGACTACCTCGACGCAGAATAGGTTGGAGACTCCTACCAAAGAGCAAGCGATGGCAGCACAACGAAAACGCATGTATAATGGAATGGATGGCCGTGCCCCAAGTCAAGGATCAAACGGAACCTATTTCAAGAATATGTCAACCACTGCAGCAAATGCTGTCAACGCCCTCAGTCAGACACGATTCGAGTCACCTGCACGTGGCATGGACGGTCGTCGTTCAGTTGGGCCAGCTCGACCATCACATCAATTCCAGAACAGCCAAGATTCATTACCCCAAGGAGGCAGCCAACAGAGCATGCACAGCATGCCGTCGCAGGACAGCTTCTCAGCCAACAATGCTGGCTCCTTCACGTATGGAACCAATTATGCTGATTACCCAAACGGCATCGAAGGACAAGAGCCACCACGCAAGAGAATTCGTCCATCTCCGCAGAACTCCTTCATGACCACAGTGGACCCAGGCCTCGATACCTCGATGCTGGATGGCACTACCGAACCTAATGATTCTTTCATGTCACACCAGAATCAATCTTTTGCACCTCTTCCAGAGTCGGTTGTCGGGCTGCCACCTCTTCCTACTGTTGGAGGTCCGGAAGAAGAAAACAAGAAACAGCATCTCACGGCTCTCTTCTACGATTTATCTCGGACGGATTTCTCCAACGAACCGGCATTCCTGACCTTGACCACTCGAGAACTGGAAATGCCGCTTGATGACTCTGGTAATACGGCTCTGCACTGGGCAGCAAGACTGGCTCATATTCCACTGATCAAGCAGCTGATCGCGAAAGGCTTTAACGTCTGCCGCACCAACAGCGGAGGGGAGACTCCTCTTGTCGCAGCTTGTCAAGTACGGAACAACAAGGATAATCTCACATTCCCTGAACTGCTCGAATTCTTAGGCTCTAGTATCGAGGTGAGAGACAAAAGGGGCCGCACTTTACTCCACCATATTGCTGTCTCGTCGGCCATGCAAGGTCGGGCTGATGTTGGACTGTACTATCTTCAATCGTTGCTTGAATATGTGGTTCGGCCAGATAGCAACACAAGCTCTCAAGATCAGTCGTTTGATGCGTATGACTACGACGGTACAAGAGGGCGGAAATCGATGGATCTGATACGATTCATGTCAAAGATTGTGGATGTGCGAGATAAATCTGGAGATACTGCTCTTAACCTGGCAGCAAGAACCAGCACGAAGATTATCATCAAACAACTCCTTGAGCTTGGGGCTAACACTCAAATCGCCAATGATGGAGGGCTAGCTCCTATCGACTTTGGTGTCGTAAAAGAAGACGAGGCAGATGCGCCTCAGCCTCAGCCTCCACCCCCACCACCACATTTGTTTGCGAACTCCAGTTTCCAAGGCGCTTCTGCTTCGTCTCAAACGTCGTTCGCAGACACTCAGTCTGAAATACTGACTTGTGAGTCATGTATGATCTAGTTTGAGGCTTTAGCTAACCTATGTTCTGTAGCGGTGCAGAAGGCTTTCACGGAAGCAGATGTTATGCTCAGTAGCGAGCTTCAAGAAAAGCAAGATGAGCTTAACCGGAAAACCCGCCGCCTCAGAGATGAGGGCATGGCTCTGGCCAAGGCCAAGGAGAGGCTACATGAGTTACAGGCCAAATCTCGCGAAGAGCATGAACTAGAACAGAAAATCGCAAACCTCAAGCGATCCAATGCTGAGCTCAAAGGCCAGCTTTCGCAGTCCAACGGACATCTATCCAACGGCATGCCAGAACATGTCGTGGTTGGCGAAGCTGACAAAGGTCTTGATTTTGACGGACTCCTTCCTTTAGTCGAGCAGTTGTTCCCAGACGACGAAGAGAACATCGATCTGAACGGCCCCTTGTCTCCCGAACAGAAGAAGTTCCTGTCTTTACTGGAGAGAGCAGAGGTACTGAGCGGGAGGACAGCGGCATACCAGCAGCACAATGCCGATCTGGAGGCTCGAGCAAACAAGCTAAGAGGAATGGGTCAGGAGTTGGAAGAGCGGTACAGAAAGATAGTGAGCATCTGTACTGGTGTGGAGGCAGACAAGGTGGATGATATGATGGAGAGTCTGCTTCAAGCCGTCTTGAGTGAGCAGAAGGAGCATGTGGAACTGGGCAAAGTGCGTGACTTTCTCAAGCTGGTCAGAAGTGGGGACGAGTGATGTTTGCTTGAGCTGTGATGTTGACTTGCATGACGACCATCACAATGTTGAGGTTGCGTGTTTGATGCGTGTATTGCATTACCTAGTCACTGATATCAAGACTCATAAGTGGTATCGAGGTTAAGGACTGCTATGAAGGCAAAGAACGATACCAAAGTCGGGAGTGGTATCGAAAGCCATGCTGACATCAAAGATGGCGAGCACTCAAGTACAACATCCTCCAGACAGCTGTATCATGCTATCCCTCGACAGGGTAATTACCGAGTCTCTACTCTCCCTGCTCCGTGAAAGTGCACGTCCTAGGTTCTGCCTGAGGCCCCTTCGGCCCGATTCAGCATCGGTATCTAGAACTTAACATGATGATTACTTTCTCCGCATCGCTGACATGATGGGCATTGCAAGCAAGAGAGAGCAGAGCAATACATTGAATGAATGGTTAAAGAGGGTTTCCAGCTGTGTTGAAACAAGTTTCAGAACATTACAGTACATTAGTATGTAGTAGTAAAGCCAATACAATACGTACCCCGCTAACCGGTTCTGGGATGTCGTCCGATCTTGATCACCAGATGTTTCATGATGGTCTCAAGCCTCAGCCTTCGCCTCCTCCTGACGCTCTGGCCTTCCAACACTGCGACCTCTTGAGCGCCAACGAGATCATGCATCATCCCATCCTACGGCCAAAGTCTGGCTCCATGGTCACAGTCCACTAAAACATTCGTCGTCATCATCCCGCGGGAATACGGGAATACGGACGTGCATGAACAGCCGCCTCCACATAGGCCTGCTCAAACGTCTGCGAGCAATTTCATGTTTCCTTCCAGAATCCCAGTGCGCCATTTAATAACGCTGAGTGGCTCTCGACGCGTGAAGCATGAATATCAGCTGCTCTTGATGTCTAACGAAACGGCTGCGTGCAAATGAAGGGCCTTGATTTGGGATTTTATGCTTGACTCACCAATAATGATATGCTTCCTATGTCGCGTTTCTCGGTAGTACTCGACAACTGTTCCTTCGGATATTGTTATCGGTGTTCTGTCTTGATTTCTCGTACCGTCGTTGCTGTTGTCTGTCTTACAGATCGTATCCATCACCCTCTCCACCGCCCTCCGCCATGGGTTGATCTTTCTTCATCCTATATTGATTCTGTTCCCTCTTTTTATTCTAGGAAGACGCTTGCTTTCTGGATACCGAGTTCATAATCGGGCAGGTCCCCATCCCACACTCTTTGGAATTTCACCCTGGCCACGTTATAGCTTACGGCAACCATTGCTAGCAATCTTTTTTGGTCAAATAGTCGACTTTCATCTCGTCAGATAGCCAGGACTACTTATTCGGACAACATAACACACTATGCACATCCAGTCACCTGCTCGCTTGACCTTGTTAATAGTTCTGTGTTCGCCAGCGCTCGCCGTCAAAGATACATTCGATGCACTCAGCCTTCTGTCCCGAGGAATCCATAGGTTGGACGAGGTGGTCTATCGAGGTGCTGATGAGATGACAGTGGGCCACCTAGTAGCACGGATGCCCCAACCACCACCGGTCGCTCCAACTCAATCCGCCGCTGCCAACTTGACCCGTTCGGATCCGTCAAGCATTGACCAGGCACAGATAGATGCCACAACCTCTGCGGCATGTAGTACTGCACTTGGCGACATCGGGAGTGTCTCGAACGACGCTGGGCTTCTTGGCTGCTACAACATCCCATTTCTCAATACCAACACTGGCGTGTTCGAAGCCGATCTCAGGCTGTATCAGCTCATGCAACCAAGAGGCGCTTTCGAAGGAATCAGGTCAACCGACATTAGCGTGCAAGTGAGTTACCCTAATGCGGCGTTCTCGACTATTCCACAAAGCATGCGGAATGCAAAGAGGGAAGCTGAACTAGAAAGTCGACAAGCTCCTGGAAGCATGACGGAGCTGCAAACCTTTTTGTTTGTAGGCCAGGTCAGTGGTGGGTTGACTCTGACCAAGTTGACTGAGTGAGTGCAGGTCCCTATGTTCTACAAGATTCTGCTGATTGGTACGTAGCAATGATCTGATGGCCCTCCTAATTCCTACGATACAGCTTGGTGCAGATAAAGGTGGCGACTCCAAGGCGTCAACGAATCTGACCAGCTCATCTATGATCTTCTTCGTCTCAGGTATCTTTCAAGGCCCCGCCGCCACCGCCGCCGCCGAAAAAGCGGGCGAGTTTACGCTTCCTGGCACCACTCTCGGTATATTCCCAGTCGGGTTAATCATCACCTCAGTCTGGACGCTGGTATTCCTCTCTGTTGTCGGCTATGGTACATGGGAAAGGATGCAGTTTCGAGAGCAATTTCGCCAACGGAAAGTAAGGGCAATGGCTGCTGGAAAGGCTTGAGGCTTTTTNNNGGTCTTGTTTTTGGAGGTTTTTTTCCTCTGCAATTTAGCGATTGTTGTTCTTCTGGGCTGGATATCATGACTTCTACCGCCCATTGAGGCTGTCATCTACTGGCTTGCAATGTACCCTACGATTCAAGGAGAGCTCTCATATCGATGCCAAGCAGGCCATTTGCAAAGCTGTTCTAACCTCTGTACTTCCTGTAACAAAGTAACTTGACAAGCACTTGAAGCAGCTAACTGTGACTATAACGCGACGGACGCCAGCAACTTACAACTCTTGTTCCTCTTGTTACCTCTTGCCCGCTGCTCGCCTGACTTTGGGAAACGAGAAGTAGGCAAAGATGACAGTACCCCGGTACCTTTTACCCGGAATTCCAGGCTCTAGGTTAAGATCTCGCCAGGCATCGACATGAAGTTGACCTTCCACCAGCAATATCACGAGAATTCCGACTAGTGTAGGACAGATAATGACTGTGTTCACCCTGATGGTGGAAGTCATATTGCGCAATGGAAAAGCTCTACCCTTTACCACGAACCGGGATTTCATTCTTGGAGATCTTGAAAGACCCATTTTCGCAAAAGATATTCGGATATGAAGCTGCATTAGAAGACCGTCTACTCTTTACGACTGGATTTGCTGCACGGCTTGCATTTCTCATTCGCAATCCTGCAAACCACTTGTCGCTCTTGAAACTTGGCTACACCTCTCTGGAAGCTTTTCTACAGTCAAATGTCACTGGCCCACCATTGGATTTTGAACCGAAAGATGTTGTCTTTCCCCAGAATTATCAAAGCTCGGTGGCCGATCTCAGGAAGCAGATGTTTGCAAGCCTCAGTGTCGAGGGAGAGGCTGTCTATCCTCTCATTCCGGATATCGAGCTTTTCTGGGTGGGTAAGACCATCGTGAGCAACGATGAACTATGTGAAGGGTTCAATGGCCACCGTGCCCGTATGAGAATTAATTTCTGGCATCAGAAGCTCCTTTCTGGACCGAGCGACTCTCTTCGAGATCAGATTTATAATGACGCAGAGGTGCTTGAGGGACAACTTAGATCGCGACTGATGTTTCATGGCGCTTCGGCAGAGTATCACTTCGTTGAATTCCTTGTCGAGAAAGCCGTCATTGACATCTACTACGGGAATGATGTCAAAGCCAGGACACATCTTGCTAAAGCCGCCAAACTCAGGGGATTCGATTTTGCTCTGACTGGCGCTTTGGGGAAGAGGACTAAGTTCCAAGATCGAGACATCAGCCAACTCGTGGTCCTCGCGAAAAGCAGGGCAGAAGAAGTGGAAGAGTCGTCTCCGAGGAAAGGAAGTCGGAAGGATCCTCCGACTCCATCTGCCCCAGCCGATATTGCCCAACCTAGTCCTCGACAAGGAAGCAGTGAAACAATCCCGGCTTCTCAAGTTAACGACCAGAGGCGTCCAGGATCGCCCATCGTTCCATCGTTCAAGAAGCCAGAGAACATCCCTCTGGATGACGACACATTGCTCGAATCGATACATTTCGTCCCACCAAAGCTCTTACCAGAAGTCATCTCGGATAATACATCTTTACTTCCTTCACTAGCTGAGCTCGATCCAGCCGCACAGCCATTACTGTCTCCATTCGATTCCATCATTCTCCTTCAGATCGCGTCATCCATCTCCAATACCTCACCATCCGATGGCTTGACACGAGAAGAGACACTTCCATATGCGACCCGTGTGCTAGAAGGTGGCTCTTCAAATTGGCAGGTCTATACACAAGCCCTCCTCGTTCGCAGCCGAATCGAGGGCTACCGTTCTCGAACCGCTGAGCGCGGGCTTCTCCAACTACAAGCGTTAGTCGACCAAGTCATTGTCGAAACGAAAGCGACCAAATCATCCAACTCAGCTGTGGGCGAAGCTGGCCTTGACGAGCCTGGGACCCAGTCTCCATTGCCTACCTTGCAGGAGAGGCCACAATTCCGGTCCCAATCATCCTCTACTTCAGAACCAACCTCCTTCCTTCCAGCGGCCAGACCTTCGGAGACGGCTTCTGTAGCGGAGCGCCTGAAGTATATTTATCAGCTTCATCCACCCCTACGGTGGGAACTGGAAGCCGAGCTCGCTGCTCGCTGGGTCAGTATGGGTGGGCTGAAGACGGCCTTGGAGATTTATGAAAGACTGCAGATGCACGCCGAGGTTGCACTATGCCTCGCAGCCACCAACAACGAAGCAAAAGCAATTCAAGTGATACGGAAACTGCTCTTCCAGCCGACGTCTGAAGAGGAAGGAGACGACCAAAACTTTACTGGTGCAGAAAGAGATATACTCCCACCAGACGCACCTCGCCTCTTCTGCATCCTTGGTGATCTAGAAAACTCCCCACATCACTACGAGCGTGCATGGACCGTATCGAAGGGGCGCTACTCCCGTGCCCAACGCTCTCTAGGCCGGTACCATGTTCGCAAGAAGAACTACCCGGCGGCAGCAGAGGCCTACGCTAAATCCCTCGAAGTCAGCCGTCTCAATGCCAGCACCTGGTTCGCACTCGGGTGCGTGCAACTCGAACTCGAAGATTTCCAAGGCGCTGTCGAGAGCTTTACTCGCACCGTCCAGCTCGAAGCAGATGATGCGGAAGCGTGGAGCAATCTCGCAGCAGCGCTGCTTCGTCTACCAGAAGCCGAAGCCGAAGCCGAAGCCGAAGCAAAAACCGAAGAGACACAAAAAGAAGACGCGACTCTGCCCTCCTCAGCCTCGGACACAACAACAAACAAAGACGAACCCACCAGCCCAGCACAAACCCTATCAACCAAAGACACAGGCCGAGCACCTCACCCCAACAAATTCCGCCACGACGCCCTCCACGCCCTCCGCCGCGCCGCTACCCTCAAACACTCCTCCCCCCGCATCTGGGACAACTACCTCACAGTCGCGGCCTCCATCCCCCCACCGGCCACGCCCTGGAACGAGATCATCCTGGCGCAAAAGCGCCTAATCGAGCTGCGCGGAAAAACCATCGGCGAAAGAGCCGTAGACGAGAAGATCCTGAGCGCGCTGGTCAGGTACGTCACTACCGAGTTTGAGTACCCAGAGGAACCCGAATCCGCCTTCCCGCAGCAGCACAAGAATGACGCCGCGCCTGTGCCGGTGTCGGGGGCAGAAGGGCAGCAAGACGACCCCTCCTCCTCCTCATTAGCACCAGCACCCGCACCCGCACCCGCACCCGCAGCCCCAAGCCCACCCGCCAAAGCGCCCTCCGCATTCTTCGCCCGCGGCTCAACACC